CCCCAAAACCCCAAAACCCCAAAACCCCAAAACCCCAAAACCCCAAAACCCCAGCCGAGGTGTAATTTATTGAAACAAGTAATTAATACAAAATTAATGGTCCTTTCAGTGATCTTTTAATACATTATTGGATGGGTTAATGATTTCTTTGGCAGTCATCATGAACCTGTTAACAACAACCTTATCTCCCAACTTCTCCCCAGAGAACGGATCCTTCCTTCCATCTCTAACCAATTGCTCATAGACTTTGAGATCGACGGTGTGGCCTGAAGGGCATATCACAGGGGATTCGATTTCTTCAAGCAGAATAGGACATTCAAAGTGAGACTTTATCTTTGCTATTTTTGGACCAAAATCTTTTGAAGGATCCTTAAAAGTTGGAACTTGTCCACCTGAAACAAGCTCCTCAAGTTCGAAGACTTTAAGCTGTAATTTACACACCAGATGTTCTAAATTTTGGGTTTCGACGGAGTCTTTGTTTATAGGAAGATCTTCTTTTAAAGCTTTTCATAAAGTTTCATTTAGTTCAAAAATTTGGCTCTGCTTTTGCTTTATCTTCAGGTCTTCTTCTAATTCTACCATAAATTTGTTATTCTTATTTTGTTCTTCCAAGAGGGCTGCCTTAAGTTGAGCTATTTGAATATCCTTCCTTTGTACCGAAGTGTTTAAAGTATCAATCTTCTGGAGTTGTTTCGTCATTGCTTGTAATCTTGTATTTAGATATCTGTTTGTTATTTCATTTTGTCTTATAATAAACTATTCTTCTCTTTCATACACCTGTTTAAATCTGCTAAGGCCTTTGTCTGATTCTATAGAAGATAGATTATTTAAACAAAGATTCTTCTTCGAAGTTAGAGTGCCATAGCTAAGTCATTAGCAATATGAGTAATAAGTCTAGGAAACTTAGCTTACCTGAACTTTGGTTCTTAGCTTCTCGATGATTACTTTCTGGCTGTTCACCAATGATCTCAGTGAAACAACAGTGGAGAAAGTAATACCCTCTTTTAAATTCGAAATCTGATCTTTATACGTTTTTATTCTTTGATTATTTATTCTGCATTTTTCCTCAAGGTTATGAATTATCTGATCCTTCGATTCGATTTGGTTTCTCAACGATTGTTTAGTCACCATCATGTATCTCCATTCAAATCCCAAACCACCCTAATATCCAAGCACAAACTACACCATTGCTAAATTTCAATATTTTCGCCACCTCAAGGGGTTTTGGGGTTTTGGGGTTTTGGGG